TTCCAGGAGGCACAAGGGTGATCATGGAAAACTACAGCTCAACAGTTTCTGCATGTTAATGGGTATGGTCGGGATTTTAGAGCTGAGATTTTCAAGCAGAAGGAACCCAAACCTCAGTGAAGCTGACACTGTTGCCAGTGCCTGTTTTCCAAAACCCTGCTTGCAAATCCTAGCTGCAGACCTTAGGTGGTCTGAAGTTGGCGTTTTGGCTCTCGGAAGTGTGTCTTGCTCATGCAGGCAGACTGACCCACTGCCCAATTGCATGCACATCACATATCAACAGGCTCCCGTGGCATCAGCCTCCTGCTTTATGCATATTCAGCGTGCGTTGCTCAGAATCATGCCATTGTAGTTGGGTCTGGGCTGTGCCGTACATGCACACACACATGTACACGTGCTGCCTGCAACACCCCCACTGCTTGCAGGACCCTTGACCTCACCAGGACCTTTTATTCCTTCCCCATGGAGCATTTTTTCACTAAGGATTGACCAAAGCAGTTAATTATGATGTCGTTAACTCATATGTCGTGAGGGATGCCCTCTCGTCTAATTTATCTGGGGAGCACTGTACCCACCTGAGTGCCAGGCTTGAAGCCCATCTCAGCCTGGCCGAGCATGGGGCCAGTGTGTGCTGGCAAGTGGCCCTGCAGAGGTGTGTGTGCCAAGGTGTGAGCTCCAACTCAGCTCCTGACCCTGCTGCCGTGCACCCTTGTGTGCTGGGGGAGGCTGGTCTGAGCCTGAGTGGTTGTGAAGGAAGGAGTGCAGGCACGTCCCCTTCACTAGAGGCTCAGACCACCCTTTATCTATTTTGTGATGTGCTGAAGGGCAGTAAATCCATGGGGTTAGCAAGTGTTTGAGGGAGTTGTTTGCTGTCTTAATCAGTTTTATATGAATATAGGATGAGATGAAACTCAAAGCAGACATATACGTGTGGTGGACAACCTCATCTTTCATTTTCATTACTCTCTGGAATTAAAGAAAAGGTGTGGAGGGCGTTGATGCATCCAGTCCCAGGTTCACGTGATGGTAAAGGAGCAGTTTTCTCATGGACGTACCTCTTGGTATCTATCTGCAGTGCCAGACACCAATACAACAGGTACTTTTGCTCTGTTGAAAAAGGTACAGGAGAAAATAGCACCCTGAGGAAGCCAGGTAAAGGATCCCAGCTAGGGAATTCTGCACCCCGTGTGCTTTTGATTTCTTTTAAGAGAGGTTTGTTTCTGTAAGAAAAGGTAGGACAAAAATAATGTAAAACCCTTTGAAGTGACTGAAACTGCAATTGAAGGAGCAAACACGGCTCTGACGCATAGCTCAGGTGTTTTCAGCAGCATTTAAATTCCAGGGAAACTGATGCAGCTCAAATCCCTGAGGTCAGATGGCAATAACGTGCTGGACCTCACAAGTCTCCATTGATTTCTAGGTCTGAACTCTCTTTCTCCCAATTCCCTTCCCAAGGAGCCAGGAGGTTCACCTCCCTCCTGCACTCCCTTTTGCAAGGTGGTTTGGCTCAACCCCTTCTCCCTAAGGGAGAGGAGGAGGAGGAATGGCTGCCGGGGCTGCAGATCCCACCCAAACAGCTGGACACAGCAGCAGTGCTACAGCTCCCCATCCCTGCAAGGCAGAGGAGGAGAAGGCAGATTTGATTCCTGCCCTTGAAAATCCTGACTGACCTACTACAGGCTGTGGTTGGGGAGGTTGTGTCCCTAGGCTGGACCTGGGCACCGGGACAGCCATGGAAAAGCCGTTCAACTCGTATCTCCCTTCTCTGTGCTGAGATTTTCCACCTCACAGTTGGCACATATTTTTTTCCCCGCACATGGGAATATTTGCCTCAGTAAAAGACACATGATCCCTGTCTCCCAGGTCTCTTTTGGCTGGTGAAAGAGGCCAGCTGTCTTTTCATCTCCTCTCTCTCGCATCCAGATATCCCCAAAACTGTGTCATTTGGCCTCTGTCCATCTTGCTCTGAGTTGTGGCAAGTCTTTCCTTACCTGGTGTAGCTTAGCAAATATCCTAGTCATTTCATGGCAGAAAGGGTCATGTTTCAGGTTATATACACATCTGGTCAAGTCTGTCTTGAGTCATTCAGCATCTTCCTTGTTGATGGAAATAAGATGCAGTTTGGCATCCCTCTGTGTGAGAATACAGCTCACTTCCAGTCTGCAGGAATATGAGGCAGAAGATCCTAGAAAGACGGAGAGAGAGCTTAGATGCTCATTTTGGGTCTTATCAACCGGCATTAATTCAGGGAACTCTACTGAAGTGGGATTTTGTATTTTTTGGCTCAGGTCTCATTTGTTTTCTGGTCTACTACCTATGTCCCAGGTAGTGTTTTCCCTGGTGTGTGACCTTTTTCATCAGCAGATGATGTTCCATGTACAGCATCCTGAGCTAGCTCATCTGTGCTCATTTCATTTCACATGAAGATATTTTGTGATAGAATATTTAAGTATCTCAAGAAATGAGATTTGCATAGTTTTACAATACTGTTCCCTGATGGGAATTTTAAGCATACAAATGATCAGGCTGTGAATAATACCTTCTGTCCAAATGCTCACTGGTGAAACACACCAGTTGCTATGCTGCAGAATTTTGCAGCGCCTTAACAGAAAAAGAATATGAAAAATGGTAAAAATGCACACTTGTGTTCTGGATGCCATTTTGTAAGGATGGTTTGTGAGCCGCACACTCCAGCACCTCCACACTGAAAGCAATTGGAGCTCCAGCTGCCTGCATCAGTACAGCTGGGTCTGCTGCTGAACTCCCTGACGTAGGTGCATGCTCTGACCGCGTGGTAACTGCGTTTTGGAGCATTCTGTAGTCCATACTCTTGGGTTTCTGCAGGAAGGAGACCTGAGCGTGTTTCTGGAAAGACTCTGGTGTCGTCCCTGACTTGTAAAGTCAGCACCCAGGTCCCCAGCACGTACCACCAAGATTCCCATCCCTGGGCTTCCATGCAGTCCATAGATCTATCTATGCACGCTCAGGTCCAGTGCTAAACACTGACACTTAAAAATATAAAAGTTATTGTATATATTGGTGGAGAATAGAGTAGGATGTAAATGTTGCATGAAGAGAAAAGAGCTCAGTAATACAATGGCAATTTTGGCGTTCTAGCTCATCACTTTGAAAAGCAATGCTAATACGTGTAATAGTAATGAGTAATGCAGCTCATTGACTCAAGGCAAACATGTCGTGGTGACTCACAATTTTTGGAGATTAGACAATAAGAACTACTAGGATGGATTAATTTTGTTTCTTTTTGTATTTGTGATTTTTTTTTTTTTTTGACAGACTGTGGTTTTCCTGAATTTACTCTTTGTTCCGAATGATTTGACAAGTGGCATCTATGAAATCTGTTTGGCTGATGGTGTGTTCAAGCTGTTCATGAGGACTTGTGCAGTGTGTGAAATTAAAGCTCTTTTGTTTAGATTGTCATGAGTATGTTCTTTGGCTGGATGAATAGTCCTCTCAGAAACAGGTTGTCGGTGTAAAGAAATTAAATTCACCTTTGTGGACTGGATCGTCAACAATCATTTCGTAAAATTTTGCTTTTATGGTGGCTATTCCTGATGGACAGGTTGGAATCAACTATACAAACTGGGTAAAAAACACTGTCAAAACCAACTGCTTTACAAATGTAAAAATATATTGGTTGAATTTTCTGCACTTGTTTTTTCTAAGTAGCACCTCCCATGGATCTAGACAAGGAAAGTTATCTAACAAGCAGAAAGGGGTTTGGGTTGGTTTTTTTTAATATTTCTGAGATGGTTGCATTTGCAGTGGAAAAGGGATTTATTCTGTACTTTCAGGTCCCATCTGAAAAATGGTTTCCTACTCGTAACTATTAAGCAGTGGTAAAACCAGGGGTCTTTTCCTTTCTCAAAACTTAGGAAATAACAAAATCATTCTGTCAAAACTTTGGATGGGAAAGTAGTTTATTTTGGCTAACCCGAAACTTTCTCATTCATTTATCAACACCCAAAACCAGAAAATGCTTTGATCAAGCATTTGTCATTTGGACTCGCAACCAAAAAAACCCACCAAACTCCAGTTTCCAGAGTAGCTCAGTGCAAGTTAGGGTAAAAACCTCCACACAACCCTAGCAACAGCACAAACCCCAGCTTGCATTTGCCTTGCTGCCACAAGAGACCCGCTGTGCTGTGGTTGGAGATACTCACCCATCTTACCTAACCCAGACACAGATGTGTGAAATGCAAGGGTTTCAAGTAGGTCATCGGGTGTCATTTCCTCAGCGTGCTGCTGAACTCTCTTCGCTGCTTCTGTTGGGGAGTTCCTGC